TCAGTTTCCCCAAATGGTTTGAAATTCCTTAAAAGAACAAACATTTGCTGAAAATGTACTCACCCTCAGGCCATCCTAGATGAGATTTGGAGAAATTCAGCATCTCATCACTTGTTCACCATTCCATCCTCTGCAGTGAATGGGTGCCGTCGGAGTTCAAACAACTGCTAAAAACATCACAAAAATCCACAAAGCTCAAGTCAATCAATTAACATCTTGTGAAGCTGCATGTTTGTAAGAAACAAATCCATTCTAAACAGTTCTAAACAAATATGTTGATGGATTTTTTTTAAGTTAAACGGATGGTTAAAAGTTAAATGCCTTTATGATCAATTTGTTTATAACAAACACACAGATTTTCACAGCTTATTCACACACACACGCACGCACGCACATATACACACACACACACGCACGCGCGCACACACACACATGCACGCGCACACACACACACACACACACATAAACCAGCCAGTGTGATTCAATACATAACTTGTGACAAAATATTTGATAATGGTATTTAAAGTGTGATGTTCTAGTGGCACTCAGCACTCATTCTCTCTCTGTGCCTTCAACAACAGTGGCAAGAGAAACCCCTACTGAAGATCTGCAGCATGGAAGAAGGATTTTATACATTACAGTATTATTCTGAATCAGTATTTAATAACAGCATCTGTGGGTCAATGTGATCTCTATGCCTTATGCTTCTGAAGATGTCTAATTTGAATTAATCTAAATCTAACATCACTCAAGTTGTATTGCTGGATCAAACTGTGCCTGTGAAGATGTTCTTGTCTGTGACCTTGTGTGTCATTTTCCCTTATGTCAATGGAGTCATGATATTCCCCTTGCGCAAAAAGACTGTTTTTCAGGAGATGCCCCGCTACATTCTGTTTGGTCACATGCTTTGGGTCGATACGCTTAATCTATTTATGAGTGTAAGAGTGATGCACAATGGCGCCGACGGTGATGGCTGCCTCTGTGGCATGCTCTGCAGTTGTTTTTATGTTTTTGTCAGTTTGTCCTGTCTTTAGTTATATCCCTGCAATCAGTTTCACCAGAGACGAATTGCTGGACATTCGGAAGTACACACCACCCGATATTTCACCGGTTTTCGACTATTCGGATGTTTTGCTGGACATTGTTGTCGGGGGAGCTGCTGCGCTGATTAAGCGCTTCAGGACGTGCAGACGGGGGAAGTCTCGTATGTGTAAACATACCTGGCAATAAAACTCATTCTGATTCTGATTCTGATAATGTTGTTTATATGTGCTGTCAGTAAGATTTCAATTATGAAAAATGTCTGTCTTGTTCTTCTCATTTTTACAACAGCTCTCTTACATGTTTCTGTGCTGAATCTGTCTTAAATGTCACTGGAGAGGTATGTGGCCATCTGATTTCCTATCAGACATGCAGAAATGACCACTTCTGAAAGAACTAAAATGGCCATCAGCGTTGTTTGGATGATGGGTTTGATTCAGCCCCTCTCTGACATGATTATTTTCTATGCTATTGATTTTACGAGTGCAGTGATGAATTCGTTCTGCTCAAGAACTACTCTTTTCAGACTTCAGATATACAGTATAAGAAAATTGAAATGTCTATCACTTGTTTATTCTTTGTGTCTGTGTGTTTTGTTATTATCTTCACTTATGCTTCTATAGCAGCTTTTGCTAAAACAGCCGCCAGTGATAAAATGTCAGCCAAAAAAGTCAACATGACTGTTTTGTTGCATATTTTACAACTGGTTCTCGGTCTTGTATCCCTTTTATTGGAACCCATTTTTGAAGTAATTTATGTTCGTGTTGACCTTAATACTTCAGTAAACTTAATGCATTTTTTCTTTGTAGTCTTTATAATTTTCCCAAGATGTTTAAGTCCTCTTATATATGGCCTGAGAGACGAGAACTTTGGCTGGTCATTTAAATACTACTTCACATTGGGTTTAAAAAGGCAAAACAGATGTAATACAGCAGGAGGTTGAAAAATATAGGTTACTATCTAACTGGTGTTAAACCTATTTAAAATTTTTCTTTAAAATGCTTTACTTGACAATATTGTCTTTCAATTTATTGTGATAAAAAGATAATTCTGTAAAATTGCTAAATTTGAGCTTGTGTGTTCATGTGATGAGATATTGGAGTCCAACCACACTAAAATAACTGCAGCTAACAAACAGATTAAATCTCAGTCAAAAGTTTGTGAAAAACAAGTCCAAAAAGTTTGTACGTTATTTACCCCTAAACGATGCAAATTAGTACCATGTATGCATATTAGTACCTTTTGAATGGGTACCGACGCAGTGACAGCTTTTGTACCTTTTTATTCTTGAGAGTGTATTATATTAATGCATATTAATTGTCACCTTGGAATTATAAGGTTCTATCTGAAAGTTATTCACATTTTCTTATTCTGTAACTTATTTACATTATGTGATTTTTTTTTAACTTGTGTACATTTTAGGACTTTTTATTTAGATAACAAAAATCTATCTATCTACAAAGTATACGGAATGCAAAAACTTTGAAGCTCAATATCTCAAAACCGCTCAGAATGCAGATAGAACTTGATAATTCCAAGGTGGCGATTTACTGCCCGACTTCTTGTTAGTCTGCTTATCATGATAGAAAATATTAGTTAAAGTGAAAGTGACATGACGTGTGGCCAAGTATGGTAACCCATACTTGGAATTTGTACTCTGCATTTAACCCATCCAAATGCACACACACAGTAGTAAGTAGTGAACACACACACACACACACACACACACCGTGAACACACACCCAGAGCAGTGGGCAGCCATTTTTGCTGCGGCGCCCGGGGGAGCAATTGGGGGTTTGGTGCCTTGCTCAAGGGTCTCACCACAGTTGTGGTTACTGAAGATTAAAGAGAGTGCTGTATATTCATTACCCTCACCTCCAATTCTTGCCGGTACTGAGACTTACCTTTAGGTTACAAGTCAACTCTCTAACCATTAGGCCACGACTGCCCCCAGTACTTAATACTTCAGTCCTTTTTCACTGTCAGTGATGGTGCCAGTTGCATTTGCATGAAACAAGAGCAAGCGAGTCTATGGAGTGATATGAGAGACATGTCATATAAAGATGGTTTCAGTTAACAAAATGAGTGGTCTGATATAGCCTGCATTTTTGCCATGCATGATATTTAATCACTGAATGCCACGATTGACCAGTCAGAAGTATTCCAGAAAATAAATATTAAAACAATCTATTAAAACTTATTCAATTCTGTTAATACACAAATGAGAGGATATATAAAAATATTAAAGGGGTCATATGATGTGATTTCAATTTTTCCTTTCTCTTTGGAGTGTTACAAGCTCTTGGTGCATAAAGAAGATCTGTAAAGTTGCAAAGACTAAAGTCTCAAATCCAAAGAGATATTCTTTATAAAAGTTCAGAGTCAGCCACACCTACCTAAAATGGCTCGTTCTAACACGCCCCCACATATCTACCTCACTATGTGGGAAGATTTGCATAACGCCGCCCAAATGTTCACGTAAAGAAAGAAGGCGTAACTTTTATTCTCGCTGTAGTATTGTTGACGCTGCAGCCATGACGTGAAGACGTTGTGTTTCATTGTGAAAGCGAAACTACTTTGTTTGGTCTTCCAAAAGAGGACGATATCTGCTTCGTCATGCCTAGAGCTGATCTGTGCTGGTCGCTGAGGGAATACATCAACTTTCACCGTGGACTAAGCGGAGTGCAGCCCGGGGTCGTCACATGTGGTTGCCGCTCGCCGTTCTCGACCCCGCCGCCTCAGCTCACTCTAGCCCGGCCTCAGCTCACGCTAAGCCGGGGCTTCTGCTCACGCTAGCCCAGCCTCAGCT